CCTCGCTTTTGCTGAGGTTGACTTTGAACTTGTGATCCTTCTGTCTCAGCCTCCCGAGCCGCTGGGATTACAGGACTGTGCCACTGTGCCCAGCTCATCCACATATTTAATGCCTTATTTATCCAACAAAGACTTACTGAGCTCCCGGTGTTGGAAAAACTGCAAATGAGACATTGCTGTGTCCAGACTGTGCAGACAGAAAGCCAGCCATGTGTCCATGACTTCGTGGTTCTATTTTGAAAAGGATCAATGATGGGGTGAGCATAGCGGAATTGTTTGGGTGCGGCTGTAGCTCTGGTCCTGCCAGATGGCTCCAAGGCCCTGTCCTGTGTAATGCGTGAGGAGAGGGAGGAGGGGAGGCAGTGGGGATGGCTCCCTGGGCAGAGGGCAGTGACCAGCACAGTGTTGGGGGCAGGGATAAGGTTGGGCAGTGGGGATGGCTCCCTGGGCCGAGGGCAGTGACCAGCACAGTGTGGGGGGCAGGGATAAGGTTGGAGAGGTGGATGGGACAGGTCCTAGGGTCTCTATAGGTCTTGGTAAGGAGTCAGAGGCTAATAAAGATGGGAGGCCGTGGGGGAGGGCCCTCTGATCCAAGTGCTTATCATGAGGGAGGGGATAGGAGAGGGGAGAATGAGGGGGTAGGAAGACCAGCTAGAGACCATGTATGGGTGGGATGGGTTTGGAGCAGATCACAGTGGAGGAGCAGGTGGGGAGCAGCAGCCGGCATCGAGATGTGCTTTGGTGGAGGGCCCACGGTGCTTCGGGTGGACTGACAGGGGATATTAGGGATGACGCTTCGGGCTGTCTTTTCACCATCTAGCCTGTGAAACCGTCCAGACACCAGCTGGAGTGGAACGCTTCCACATTCAGTTTTCAGAGGGTGCTCAGGCCTGTCCCCCTGAAAAGCCAATGGAAATGTGACTGCCTGGTGGCCATGTGGGGAGGTGGGGCCTAGCAGCAAGTGTGTGGGTCACGGGGTAAAGTCCTCATGAGTACTGACTCTTTTCTCAAGGTCATGGGTTCTCCTGAGGGAGGAGACTGGTAATCTCAAGGGAGGCTTGTCAGAAAGCCTTGGTTAACCTCCTCAACTTCTCTTGCTCTCTGAGCTAGGGGGGCTTTTGGGGAGAGAGACCCTAGTGGACAGAGACCTGTACCTAACATCATGACGTCATGCTCTTCGTCAGATAATAAAACCCACAGCATATACTTGCAACAGATCAATTAGAGCAAAAACATAATTAATTTAAATGTCATCAGATTCAAAGACTTTAAATGTGCTCATAACTGACCAAAGAGAAATATTTTGAACCCCCAAAATACAGTGATTGCCAGTGGTCCTGATTGTCAAGAAGCTTTCCTGAGAATCTGCACATTTCTTCCAGAAACAAAGAGTGCTACCCTAGGCTGGCCATTTATCTTGTCTTCTCTGAGAAGTGAGGGGCCTGGGCACCCCACCTTCAGGTGTGCACATCTTTGCTGTCTTTAAGTAAATCTTTGCTTGTGCTTTGTTTCTGATGCGCCCTGAAATTCTTTTCAGAGACAAAAGTCAAGAACCCACGTGGGCCATGTTGAGGTCCCACTTTCCTCTTTGGAGGGACCTCCTCAGACTGCTGTCACGGACAGCTCTTCTGCACAAGTCGCTTGTCAATCTGCTTTCCAGAGTTGAACTAGCCCAATACTTTCTCTGATGCCATGCTCCGGGGCTCTCCACTCTCCAGAACCCTGAGCTAAAATAAATCTCTTTCCATTATATAGAGATCTTCTGTGATCTTCTGTTTTAACAACAGAAAATGGACTAAGTCCCGAAACAGAATATCAGTGCTGGAAGGAACTCAGGCATCTTTGATTCAACTGAAGCCTCAAAGGCTGATGCATGGAACAACTGCAGTCTAGTTTCCAGAATCCTTGCTTGGGGTTTATTTCCCTCTAAGCTGCTGTCTTTAGCAATAAGCCAAGCTGACATAGAGAACCCACGATTTAGGCTACCAGAGGGTGATGCTTATTAAAATGCTAAGTATTAAGTTCATACATTATGCATAAGATGCAAAGAATACCAACACACCACAGAGCTGTGAGCTACCCACTTGAGTTTCAAAAGAGCATTGTTGATCTTTTTGTAGTCCCAAATGCCTCTCAACAACCCCTTCTCTGGCTTCCTGTCTCAGAGTGTCCACTGCTTTTCTTTACATTCCACTACCCATTTGTCTCCCTAAGTGACCGTCTTTGTGCTTTGCATGTTTTTGAACCTCTACAAGTGGAAGGCAGTGAGCCTTCTCCTGTGACTCACTTTTGCTCGACACTGTTTTAGAGATCCATCCACAGTGGTGCTTGCAGTTCTTATTAATTTTTCACCCTAATTTATTTATTTTTTATATGATAGTAGAATGCATTTTGACCTATTATACCCATGTGGAATATAACTTCTCATTCTTCTGGTTGTACATGATGATTACATTGATCCTGTAATCATATATACACATAGGATAGTAATGTCTGATTCATTCTACTGTCTTTCTTATTCCCATTCCCCCTCCCTTCCCTTCATTCCCCTAAATCTAATCCAAACTACTTCTATTCTTCCCTATTCCCCCACTGCCTTATTGTGAGTTAGCATCTGCATATCAGAGAAAACATTTGGACTTTGTTTTTTTGAGACTGGCTTATTTTACTTAGCAATGATATTCTCAAGTTCTATCCAATTACAAGCAAATACCATAATTTCATTCTTCTTTATGACTGAGTAATATTCCATTGTGTGTATATACCACATTTACTTTGGCTTTTTCAAGCAGTGCAGCCAAAGGTTTTTGTTCAACTTCCTGGTACACATGTGCAGTAGGGTCTTTAGGGTCTGGGCAGGAGTGCATTAGCTGGTTGCTATTGTCAGCTTTACTGGCAAAGACAGTTATTTTCTCCAGATGCTGTGTTGGTTCACACCCCCACCAGGAACGCAGGGGATTTCTGTTGCTCCACATTCTTGCCAACACTGGATACTGTCAGACTAAAAAATCTGCTTACCTGATGAATAAGAAAAGTTTCATTTAGGTTTCAATTTGCATGTCCTGGGTATTAAGGAGATGGACCATTTTCTAAAACATTCATTGTGAGTACCACACTTTGGATGTGAAATAAAACTGAATATCTTACAGCAAGTTTTGGGAACTAGGGAGTGTCATCACAATTCAGGAGCTCTGGTCTCTTCCCCAAAGCTTGTTCTACTGGTGTTTTGCTCCCTTGGTTGATGCAACTCTGCCCCTCCAGTTCTAAAGCCAGACTCCTTCCTCAGAGCCCTCTTGCTGTCCCTCTTTACAGCCACATCTGTATGGTAGGGAATCCTGTCTTAGGCTCTTCTTTAAAACATATTCAGGGTCTACCCACCTCAGGCTCTGAATTACTGTAGTTTCTCTTCCCCCTTCACCCTCACCTGCTGTGCAGTTTCCAAAGAACAGATTGTGTCCAATTGTCGGTACCCCATGGTGCCTGCTCACCTCTCCCAGAGTTAAAGCCAGTGTCCTTAGAGTGATGCCCTGCTTCTCACAGGACAACTTGTACAGGGATGTAGAGAAGGGTGGTTGGGGTGGCAGAGGTGACTGGGCCATCCTCTCCAGTCTGCCTGGGCACTGGCTCTTGGAGGCTGCTGGGGCCACAAGAAGAGCGGGACTTGTTTGGGCACAAGCCCATCAGCAGCTTCATATTCTCTGGTTTCCTATTGGCTAGTGCAAGCCCCATGGTCAGGTCCAGATGCAAGAGAGGAGTAGCCCCAAGGCAGAGGAGTGAGCCAAAGAGAAGGCCAGGGAGGGGAGTTTGTGGCCATTTTTGAAGTCATCCTGGATTTAATGTTGCAAGTACTAAAGACTGGGAAACAACCAAGATAAAAGGCATATAAGCGCTTTAGACAACTGCATGAAAGAAACTCAAAAGCTTTATATGGTTGTAGTGGGATTAGAATGATCCGAAACATTGCACGTCTAACTGCCACCCATCTTCAGACCTGATCTGCTCACTCTCTGATTTGGAGAGATTAACCCAGGAATTATATAGGTCAGTTTGGTAAGGCATTTAATCCTGCTTTTAGAATGTGTGTGTCAGAAAATCAGATTCGATTATCTCCTTACCTTTCATTATTTCTTTAGGGGTGAGACATTTTAAAAAATAAAGTTGAATTTTGAATTGAATGAATGAGGTGGAAGTCATTCCTGGATGATTATCAGCCTAAGGCAGCAGGGCATGGCTTGTGCAAACTTCAGGTTCTCAGAGTTCTCCCAACACCTACATCCAAGGGCAATTTAAATAACTTCTGTGTAGCCATATAAACTACAAAGCAAAATTGCAAATATTCCTTTAAATTTCAATTTGGTTACAAAAACAGAAACAATGATAACGTGGAATGGGGGAGGACTAGTCATTGTTTTTGGCACATTTGGTGGTGCTCCAAAAAAAACGTGCCCTTGAAAGGCTGGCGCTGGGTCGGCCGGCCCGAGGCTATCTCGGTTTTGCAGGTGGGAGCCACGCCCTCGTCCGCCGGGAAAGGCCGGGTGGCGCCCGGAGCGCGCGGGGCACAGCTTTCGGAGCTTGCGCACCCTCGGCCGAGCGAGCCTCCGCGGGGACCCCGCCTCCTCCTGTCCAGAACCCCGAGGCCGCGTTACGCGCACCGAGCACTGAGCACCGAGCAGGGGCACCAGGCAGGCACCATCAGTAATCAACTCTTGTGGGGAACTAGAGCAGGGCGCCCGGACCGGTCGGGCGAGCAGGGGTCGCAGCGGGCCACCCCGTCACCTCAGCACATCACCGACCCCGCCCCGGCCGCCGAGGCCCCGCCCGGCCCCGTGGCCCCGCCCAGACCGAGGCCCCGCCCAGACCCCTAGGCTCCGCCCCCGACCCTCCCGGCTTCCCGGACGCCGAGGCGCGCTTCTCTGACGCACCGACGCCTCCGCGTGACGCACGGCCCCGCCCCGCCGGCCCCGCCCCCGCCGCGGCACTTGTCCTCCGCAGCTTGAGCGGCGTCTCCCGTCGGCTGAGGCGGCGGCTGAAGAGACGGTGTCGAGACCCCGCTGCGGCCCGGGCCCGGCGCGGCCGTGCGAGCCCCTGCGTCGGCGGACGATGGTGCGGCGGAGCGCGCGGACGCGGGCGGCGCGGCGGCGGGCATGAAGGAGGATGGACGGTCAGGACGAGGTGTCCGCGCGGGAGCAGCACTTCCACAGCCAAGTGCGGGAGTGCACGGTGCGTGGCGGCGCCGCCGCGGGCCCTCCCCAGCCCCTGCCCCCGCCGCCCGCGCTCTGCCCCGCGGCCCCGCCGCAGCCCCGCCAGCTGCGCGGTCCGCGCTCGGCCGCGGCGCCCACCTCACCCCGCCTCCGCCGCGTCCGTGCCCCCCCACCCCTTTCTCCCTTGGCATTGGAGGGCCTCTGCCCCTGCCCTCGCCCCCGGCCCAGTCACCTGCCCCCGCGCCCCCGTCACCTGCCCTATTTCCCCCGCCCCTGCCTTCGTCCCCCCTCCCATCCCCGTCCTCGACCTCCCCCCCCCGCGTCCCCTGCCCTCGCCCCTCCTCCCCGCGTCTCCTGTCCGCGTCCCCCACCCCCCTGTCCTCGCCCTCCCCTCCCCCCCAGCCCCCTGTCCTCGCCCTCCCCTCCCCCGCAGCCCTCTGTCCTCGCCTCCTCCCTGACCCGTGCAGGTGCAGCGGGCGGCGAGCTGGGCACTCGGGGAGCTCGGCCGCCCGGGGGCCGCGGCGGGCGGGGACGGGGTGGCAGTCCGGAGGCTGGCGGAAACGTGTGCCCATAATAATCGTGTAAAATACGTTAACTTATCTGTTTGTATTTACTTCTCCTGTCTTCTGACACCTCTCGTGTTCAGGCACACTCTTGATTAGAGGTTTTAAAATTGTTCAATTTGTGTACTTATGGTTCTTGAAAATTGAGAATCAGCTTGCCAAGTCATACCTTGCTTGGCATAGAAGGAGATGCAAAATTTCAGATAGTGGAATTTGCTTTTTTTTTTTTTTTAAATGAATGTTATACAGGGAGATGTATATAATCATAGGTGTACCCCTGTGTGTATTTCTTACTAAACACATCTGTGCAATTTCGTATCAAGAGTAAGAACCAGAATTTTACTAGAGGTTCCCCCCTCACCCTCGCTTTGTGTACCCTCAGCTCCAACGAAAGTTAACCACTGCCCTGGCTTCTAACACTGTAGATGATGTTTTGCTGCCATACAAATGAGATCTTACAGTATGCACTCATTTGTATCTAGTTTCTTTCGCTTAACAATGAGTTGTGAAATTTCTCCATGTTGTATGTGGTTATAATTCATTCTTAGTGCTGTAGTTGTGTCACTGTAGCACAACTGATTTTTAGTTTTTTGTTTTCATTGTTGATGGGTACTTCAGTGCTTTCTAGATTTTGGCCATGAATAATTTTGTGCATGTCTTTTGGTGACCGGGTGGGTGCATTTCCGTTGGGTGTAGACCTATAAATGAAATTTTCTAGGTTAGATGCTATTTATTTGTTCATTTTAGTGGATGCTTTTAAACAGTCCCCCCCCACCACCACTAATGTGGTGCTTGCCATCTTTACCAACACTTGATATTATTTTCGAGCCCTTTAAAAAATTGTTGCATTTTAGCAAGGATGTCAGGGTATTCATTGTACAAAGGTTTTTAATTTGCCTTTTCATGATGTATAATGAATTTGCACCACTTTATATGTTTAGTGGCCATTTATAATCTTTTGTGAAATATCTTCAAGGTTTTCTTTTTCCATTTTAAAATTTGTGTGTGTGTGTGTATATGTTATATAAATGTATGTTTTTTTGGTACCAGGGATTGAACTTTTCTTGAGTTGCTTATGGCCTTCCTAAATTGCTGAGGCTGGCTTTGAACTCAAGATCCTCCTGCCTGAGCCTACAGAGCTGCTGGGATTACAGGTGTGCGCCACCGTGCCCAGTAGTGTCTACTTTTTTTTTTTTTTCACAATACCTTTATTCTTTTTTTAAAAAAACAATTTTTGTGTCAATTTTATTGAGGTACAATTAACATACAGTAAGATTTGCCTTTTTTTGTGTGTGTGTATGTGTGTGTATGTGGTGCTGGAGATTGAACCCATGTCCTTGTGCATGCGAGGCAAGTATTCTGCCAATTGAGCTATATCCTCAGCCCCACAATACTTTTATTTTATTCATTTATTTTTATGTGGTGCTGAGGATTGAACCCAGGGCCTCATACGTGCTAGGCAAGCACTCCACTACTGAGCCACAGCCACAGCCCCTGGTAGTATTGATTTGCAGGTTTTTTGTTCTAAATATGATTTCTTTGACACATATGTGTTTTGCAAATACTTTTTTCCCACTCTCTGGATAACTTTTCACACTTAATGATATTGTTCTGATGAACATAAGTTCTTTTTTTCACTTTTTAAAATCTGTTTTTTTTTTTTTTTTTTTTTTTTAGATATACTGACAGTAGAGTGTATTTTGACATGCATGTAAGTTCTTACTGTAGTTCATTTTCGCAAAATGTTTTCCTGTATGATGAGTAAATGTCCTGAGTAAGAAACCTTTCCTTGCAGTCGGGCATCATGATGTTAGATATGCCTGTAATCCCACCTTCTTTGGAGGCTGAGGCAATTGGATTGTAAATTCAAGGCCAGTCTGGGCAGTAGGATCCTGTCCCAAAATAAGAAATAAAAAGTGTGGGGGTGTGGCTCAGTGGTAGAGCACCATTGGGCTCAATCCCCAAGACTGACTAGAAGAAGAAAAAAAGATTGAGGAATCTTTGCTTACTCCTAGGGTATGAAGATATTCTCTTATGATTTTCTCTCAGTGCTTTATTTAATTGCCCTTCCCATCTGAATCTACAGTGCATCTGAATATTTTTTTTTTTGTATATAGTATGAGGTAGGAATCATATTTTTTTCACATAAATGTTTAATCACTTTGGCACTATTTATGACCTTTGCCACAGGCAGCTCTATATTTGTGAGGTTTAATTTTGGATTCTGTGCTGTCCCATTGGTGTATTTGTCTTTGGCTTTATTTTTATTAATTAATTAGATATTCTGTAATTATTATTGAGAAAGGGACCCATGTTATGGTAGTCCAGAGCTTTATTACAACTTTGTCTACTTCATTGGAAACAACTCAGTTTTGGCAGTGATTCTCTGATCATAGTTTCTTAGTTCTGTCTCTCCTCACCCCATTTTCCTCAGCTCAGCACCCCTGGGTGGTCAAGTGCACTTCACCTTCAGTAGAATCAGGGCAATAAGTACACTTTGTTTACAGACCCTAACACCCAAGTGCAGTGGATTTCCAGTGTTTGGCATTTCTTCCTCAAATTATTCATATTTAGGGTATCTGTCAATACTTGCCTTTTCTCTAGGACTTGTGTCTAACTTTTAAAAATTATTCAACTCTTTTTGGTTTTTCCATATAGTGCTATAATTTTTGTTTAATATTTTTCTTGTGATTAATGTACGTAACATAAAATTTGCCTAAAGGTCCAGGTCAGTAGCATTAAGTAATTCACATTGTTGTGCATCCACCACCACTGTCCATCTCCTGAAGTTTTTCATCATCTCAGACTGAAACTTTGTATCCATTAAACAAAGACTCCCTTACTCCCTCAAGCTGCTAATAACCACTGTATTTTCTGTCTTTATGATCTTGACTACTCCAGATAGTTCATATGAGTTGAATTCTACAATATTTGTCCTTTTGTATTTGGTGTATTTTTCTTAGCATACTGTTTTCAAGGTTAATCCATATTGGAGTGTGTGTCAGAATTTCCTTAAGGCTAAAGAACAATCTGTTTTTGTATATAACACATTTTGCTTATCCATTCAGCTATCAATGCAGACTTGGGTTGTTTCCACCTTTAGGCTGTTGTGAATAATGCTGGTATGAGTGTACAAGTATCTAAGTCCCTGCTTTCAGTTCCTTTGTGTTTATATCCAGAAGAGGAATTGCTGGATCATGTGATAATTCTATATCTAATTTCTTGAGGAATTGCCAAATTGTTTTCCATAGAGGCTGTACTGTCTTACCTCTCTGCCAGCAGTGTGCCAGGGCTCTAGTCTCTCCACATCCTCACCAGTACAGGTGTGAGGTGTCATCTCATTGAGGTTTTCAGTTGCATTGCCTATACCTATTGGCTGTATGTCGTCTTTCGAGAAATGCCTACTGAAGTCTTTAGCCCATTTTAAAATCAGGTTTTAGTTGTTTTTATTTTTGAGTTATAGGAATTTCATTTATATATTTCCCTTCTCCTCCCTGAGGCAGGGTCTTGCTGTGTTGCCCATACTTATCTCAAACTCCTGGGTTTAGGTGATATTTTTGCCTTAGGCTCTTGAGTAACTTCGATTACAGGCATGCACCACTATACCCTGCTTGTGTTTTGGATGTTAATTCTTTTTTTTTTTTTTTAAGTTCTATGAATTGTTTATTATTTTCATTTTTATTATTATTGTTTGTTCTGCTTAGTTGTACATGGCAGCAGAATGCATTTCAATTCATCGTACGCAAATGGAGCACAACCTTTCAGTACTCTGGTTGTACACGATGTCGAGACACACCATTCATGCAATCATACATGTACTTAGGATAATGATGTGCATCTCATCCCACCATCTTTCCTATCCATGTGACCCCTCTCCACCCTCCCCTTTGCCCAATCCAACGTCCCTGCATTCTTCCCGTGTCCTCCCCCCATCATAGCTCAGGATCCACTAATCAGAGAAAACATTCGACCTTTAGTTTTTGGGGATTGGCTTACTTTGCTTAGCATAATATTCTCCAACTCCATCCATTTACCTGCAAATGCCATGATTTTATTCTCTCTTTTTAAAATTATTTTCTAAATATTGATAGACCTTTATTTTATTCATTTATTTATACGTGGTGCTGAGAATTGAACCCAGTGCCTCACACATGCTTGGCAAGTGCACTACCACTGAGCCACAGCCCAGCCCTTTATTCTCTTTTAATGCTGATTAATATTCCATTGTGTATATACCACAGTTTCTTTATCCACTCATCTATTGATGGGCATCCAGGTTGGTTCCACAGTTTAGCTATTGTGAATTCAGCTGCTATAAACATTGGTGTGGCTGAGTCACGATAGTATGCTGATATTAAATCCTTTGGGTATAGACCGAGTGGATATTGATTCTTTAATCAGTCTTCAACGGTTTGCAGATATTTTTCTTCCATTTCTTAGTTTGCTTTTCCCACTC